TTTCTGACTACATTATACTTTTATAAAAATATCTCGACGAAGAGAACTTCCTACAATTGCAAAATAAATTTTCCGCTGAACGCGGCCGACTTTATATGAGCTAATAAAATACGGTAAAAAAGCGCAATAAAAATACATAAAAGAGGATGGGAAATTTTATAAATTTTTAATAAAGCCTGTTTGTGTCTGATACCTTCATTTAAACTGACAGTCGCTCATTTGTTTAAATTCATAAAATATCATGGAAGTTCGCGTTCTTTGCATTTTAATCAGTATTGATTTCAAGAACAAAGTATTGCGCGACGTAGTATATCATTAATTAACTCAAATATTGAGATTGACTTAATTATGTATAAATTATTAAACGATTTTTACATATATTTTGACATCTTTAGAAAGTATTTGTGCAATTATATATTCATAACAAATTATAGATAATTTGTTATAACTAAATATAGTTAACGAGAAAAATGCATGCATTTTATATAAAAATGTAAAACTCTAAAACAAACACGTTTAAAGGAAAAATATAGTTTAATGTCTTAAAATTGATATTCCAAACTATAAAAAAAAATAGTTTAAGTGTCCAAAAAGTTTAATTATTGACATGAATAATTTGAAAATGATGTTTTTTTATACACATATATGAATGACTATACATTGAAGATATATTGCATTTATATTTTAAGCAATCCATTTTATTATTGCTATTGTGTTAAAAAAACTTATAATACAGTTTCTGTATAAAACTATTTAGGAAAATAATATTTTCCTACACACACACATAATAGATAATATTATAGACAACATTTAAAACAAAAGTTCCGGACCATCGTGTTTATTAAGAGCTAATATGTTGTTCTAGAATTAAATCCTTTTTTTAATGATTCGCGAAATATTCCCGCATTACAAATGAAAATTAGTTAAAAACAAAGAAAAAAATAATTGTTTCAGTTACAAAAAAGTATACTCAATATATGATTTTATTTAGGTTATTTGTGACTCGAAGGTGAACTTCGAAGTTATTCTATTTAAAGGATATGCATGAATTGAGGCCAGTAATGTATAAACCTTGTTTTCTAAATGCCAAACTTTTTTTAGATATAGGAGAGACACCGATATTTGATCAGGTGTTCTTAGTATTTCAAAAAGAAAAGAAATGCGCAGGACACGAATGACCAGAGATGTGTATTAAGGATTAATTATCGAATCACGAGTGATAACACGTTAATACTCTGTACATTACTCTCTATTTTTCGATCTAAACCATGAATTTATTGAATCACCGGATACTATGATTAAAATATCAATAATGGTGATATATCGACTGTTCATTAATTCAAGAGTAGATGATTTTTTTTTATACGCAAGCGATTACTTGAGGTGTTTTTACATTCCAATTAAAATTGATGTTATTAGTACAGCGAGATAATAATAATTAATTGTTAAAGTTATTTTCGCCAGTCATTGTGCGCATTCTGACAAAATAATCATATTCATCGAGCAATGAAATTATTGATAATTTCCTATACATTCAATTAATCAAATTCAATCGCTCAATGAGCAGGCAACCGGCTTACACGTGGCTGTCAGCGTTTAACAAGATGTTTTATAATAGTCAGAAGTTTTTTTTTCACTGATTAGATCATTATACTTTTATAAAAATAGTATGATTTCGACGAAGAGAACTTCCCAACTATTGCAAAATAAATATTACGCTGAACGCGGACGAGCGTTCTAGCTTTGCACAAGCTAGAAAAATGCAATAAAAAAGCGCAATAAAAGATATATAAAATTTCCCATCCTCTGCCGCGGGATCTCTATTTATACTCCAAAAAAAGGATGTAATGTCCTTTATATAGAATATAATAATTAATTGCAATGTCATGCGAGATTTACGATTTTTATAACGTTCTATCATGTTAATCTAAAGTGCGTCGTTAGTTTCGAGAAGAAAAGAAATAATTTACGTTTTTCTTTAAAGAGACAAGATTGTTCCAGACGGATGACGAATTTTGTTATTCTCGCGGAAAATATGGCTAGGTAAACAGACAGTTACTGTGCATAACTAATTTTGCGTGCAGGACAATCATTGTCAGTTGCGAGTCTTAGATAACGCTACCGTGAGAAGTTATCCCATTCGTTTTATGATTTTTTAAGGCGCAATGTGACGTCTATTTTCTTAAGATGAAATTGTTGGTCAGTCTGGGACAATAAAGCTTGGATTTTTATTATTGCGTGACTTCAATGCATTTATAATATCTTTTGCAATCTTGTCACTTTTCGGGTCTGCATTAAGGTTGTTATTCCTTCCAGGTTGATTGGTTTTTATGAGTTTTCGCTTGTCTGATCCCTCTTTTCAGTTCTGTCAGACCGTTATCGAGAGCAGTCTCCACTCGAGTCTCATAGACACTAACCATAGTCACGACGTTTTCTTTCGAAAGAAAAGAATCATGACGTCTATAGGACGTAACAGAAAAGAAAATTATCTGTCTGCTGGAGATTGGTTTAATTTGGCAAAAAGTACTGCTCAGTAAAAGTACTGATATAGTGAAAGAAATTACAAATATATTAGTCAACTTATTATGTTAGATGGCCGGATGCAAGAATGTGCGAGATAATTTCAACGATGAGTTTGTATACATACATTAAATTGGTTTAATATATGTATATTGAATTATCACAGGTATTTAAAAGATGTTCTTATGATATCTCAGGTAATAAGGATTATTGATGGATACCATGCAAAGCTTCTACAAACAAGTCTAATGATTTGTACAATCGGAAAGGTTTTCACTCTATTGTCCTACAAGATATTATAAAAACATTTTATTAAGATTTAATTTTTGTAATTCAATTTTGCTTTTATAATATGTAAAAATATTTTACAATATTATTATAATTTTGCTTTCTTTTTAAAATGTTTCGTTTTAAAATGATCGTAAAAGAGGCTTTATAGACATTTGTAGGATTACCGGGACGCATGTACGATGCACGTGTATTTAGACAGAATGAAATTTTTCAAAGATTAAAACATCACTTGTTACTACCTGATCGTCATATTATTGGCGATCCATTACTCGTGAACTTATTAATCTTATCGGGACACAGGCCATCTTACTAAAACTCAAATAATATATGTAATAATCTAATCTGTCTATTATAAGATCAATGATAAAATGAAGATATTCTTTTTTAAACGTAAATTCCGCAGACTAAAACATTTAGATATTGTTGATTTTGATTTTGGAAATAAAATGATTGCAGCAGCCTGTGTTCTATATAATTTTTTAATAGATCATAATGAAATTAATTATGAAAGTAATGAAGAACTGTTAGAACAAAAACAAAAAAAGGTAGCAGTGGAAAAAAAGTAGCAGATAATAATAAGCGATAATAAAAAGGAATAGAGTAGCAGAATCATTAATATGAAATAATTAACTGTATGAATCGCACTTAATGTATAAATCTTTTATTGTAAAATATTTTTAATTTAATTATCTTATATTTATCTTTATATCACATGTTGTACTATATTGCATCCAACAAAAATACTTTGCATATGAATTAATATATCTTAAATAAATCACATTTAAATACTAAAGATAAAAAAAATTTTCACATACAAATTAATTCTTTTTTAATCATGAAGTAATAGAACTTAATATTTTAACATCATTATGATAGATGAAAAACAATTTTTGTTTTCAGGTACAAATAAATATTTTATAATATATCTTTGAGACAAAAAACTAAATTAACATGTTGATAACAGAGATAAAAGTATATTTTTTTTAGTATCTTATAACATCAAAATATTTTGACATAAGCAACATATCAATAGCAATCAATATGACAAGCATTTCATATATTATTTATGTTTCATTTAAAAAGGAATATATTTTTTAATAAAGCCTTTTCTTAAAGTGTATTATAATTTTCTTCTTGTAAAATATGCAGTATCAGAAATAAATGTTATCAGGTACAAATCAGAGAATCCTTTTTAGTACACTCTTAACACAGAACTAAACGAATATTTTTAGAAACTAAATTAACGTTTCAATAACAGATATAAAAAACATTTTTAGTAGCTGCTAACAAATCAATTATATTTTAACATACTTAAAAAGCAATACATCAATAATAAAACTTGATATTTAATCAGTCATGATATCAGTAACAATCATTATTTTTCTTTTTCTTTCTTCTTTTGTTTCATTTTCAAGAGAATATTTTTTAATAAATCATTTTGTTTTTTAATTATACTGTTATTAATTTCTTTTTATAATTTATTACTATTATCCATTGCCTCTTTATTTCTATTTTATTGTTTTTTTGTATCAAGTTGTTTCTTTCGCATTAATGATAGCATTTTTATCCTACTTCTTTTGTTTTCTTTATCGGAACTTGGCGATCGTAACTTTGATGATGATCGATGACATTTTATTTTGCTTTGGATTTATTATCTGAAACATGAAAACCGCTTCTATTTATTTCATTGCTAGTTTCGAAACAGGTCCATATTCAGAATGCTCTTATAACGATGTTAGCACTCTAACATGCTATAGTTTACATTACATATACTATAGAATTTCAGAGATAAAGGCGCGCTTTTATCAATAAAAACGCTTTCTGAATACGGATCATAGTGATAAGAAAACTAGGATAACCTGATCATTAGTTTCAAAAAACTTGATTTGATCATTTGATATGAATGACATTGAGTTTTATCTATTGATGTGGATGACATTGAATTTGCATCTGGGGGTCGATTCTGTATTTTAAAAGTGAAAATTACAAAAGTGAGCAAATTTACTAAGTGTTAACCAATGAAATAAACAGTATTCTAGTAAATTCGCTCATTTTTATAATTTTCACCTCATTTCAAGATACAAAATCGATATTGATGTGAATGGCACTGAATTTATAACTCTTGACGTGAATGGAATGATTTTGTATTTATTGATGTGGATGGCATTGAAAATAATGTTGGTCCATGATTTACAGTTGTCATTTCTAAATATCTCTTCAAAAGTATCATAATATTCCTAATGTATGCGGCTTCTTCCAGTACTACTTTTTTTATTATTATCCTTTTTTGTACGATATGTCTTTTTCAAATTGCGCACCTTTCTGTCTAATACATTTTCATTCCATTTACAAATATTACATGTAATTTTTGTGTAACATGTTGTGTCCATAAACTTTTCTTTTATATTTTGGGATCGCGGAACTGCTCTTTTCTCTCAAAATATGCTTGCAAGAACAATTTCGTTGCTTGCTTTGTCCGCGTGAATACTGAAACTGGAAATAAAAATAAATAAAATATTTTAAGATGTAACAGACCTCTTAACTAATATTTTATATAATAAATAAAATTAATAAAGGGATTAAATAAATATATGTAATATATTTAAAAAACATTTTATAATCAATTGTAAATATTATACCTTTTCCTTCTGAAACGTACTATATATTGCTTCTTGAGGATATATTTTCGGTAAAATATGTCATAAAAAAATTTGTAAACAATAAAACATTATAATAAAACATTATAATAAAACAATTTCGATTTATGGAGAAAACATTGCATAATTTACAAATTTATATTTTACAAGCAAAAGATAGATAATTTTATATACTGTAACTGTCTATTCTGTAAATTGTTGTGCATATCTCTTGTTGCACTTATATATGATATATTCCAATTCGTCCATGTTTTAAAAACACATTCTTTTTGGTCTTCTGGATAGAAAAAACGTGTCTACTTAGATTATGTTGCTTATACACTGACAACATGTTGAATTCAGGTAGCTATTTTAAAATATGATGGAAAAAATGGCGTCCGCTCAGTAACTCACGTTGCGTATGGAGCACTGACAACAGCGCATTCAGCAGCTTTTCACTAAACCGTTGCTGAATGTAACTATATTATTATTGAGTCCCGTTTAATTTCTAAATAATATTAATATTTTATTTAATTATTAATTTATTTGTTGTTCAAAGATCGAGGAACTAATATAGAAATTAAATATAATAATTGTATAAATTCTAGTTAAATAATTAAAAATAATACATAATTGTCTTTAAAATGTACTATAATATAATTATTTTAGAAAAATAGTCAAAAGAAAAAACAAGATTAATTACACTTTCATTATAATTTTGGAATTAACACTTACCTGCTAATTTGATTTTTATTATAAATAAATCATAATTGGAAAACGTTGTTTTATGAAACTACGGTAATTATTTAGAATATGGTCGTCCCTTCCAATTTTGATGAAATTAGGCTTATTTGACGCGATTTTGCACAAAAGAATCTGAGAAAAAACATTAGGATGGCCTTGTGAACCGAGACGTATTATAACGTGTTAAAGTTGATGACTGTATAAATTAGGAAATCTATCATATCGATGGATTTCCTAATCTCTATAGTCGTCAACTTTAACGCTGATTCTACAATGAGTCGGTGATCGATAGTTCTAAGTCTTATCGGTGAAATCGATAGCCAACTTGTATGACTAAGGCTGATTGGTTAACTTCACCGATTAAGATTAAAACTTCCGATTACCGACTCATTATAGAATCAGCATAACACGTAATATCTCGGTTCGCGGAACCGTAACGTTTTTTCTTATAGATTCTTTTATTTTGTGCAAAAACGCATCAAATAAGCTTAATTTCATTAAAATCAGAGAGACAACCATATTTTAAATAATTACGAAACTACGAAGTATCATTTACACACACAATTAATATCGGAATAGTATATCGTAAAATATCAATTTAATAGCAAAATATATTACGATATGTATCAGTTGTCAAAATAAAATTATAATTATGTATGTTCATTTGTCTCATATGGTAAACATTTGTCATATCATCATGTCTAAGCGCACGAAATGTTAACTCTGATTAGCGAAATTTAATTGTGATTAGTTTAAAAATTATAATTATAGCTTCAACATTTTTATATTAAGATTTTCATCATAAAATTGTTTCAAAAATACGTTTTTAAAAAATATTCGGTAGTTGTGAAACATCCTGTATATTTCATAACAATAATTTGACGTAATATGCAGAAATATTATTAATTGTAACAACATGAAATTAATTTTTTATTATTTTAACATAAAAAACAATACCTAATATTCTTGAACATATGTTGAAATTATCTTAGCAAACGTATTAGAGCAATGTTTAAAAAACATTTCGAATATAATAATATTACGGAAATGTTTTTTTTAATATTGACAAATATCATGTTATTCAGCAATATTTAAAAAATATTTATATCACATTATGTAATAACATTGATAAAATTCATATAAAATCAACATTTTACAATGTTAATGTAATGTTCCTTACTGGATTATATAATTATATAATTATCATTACATGTCATTTATTTATTTAATTTTATATAATTGAATACATTGAATTTTTGCTTGGATACTTCAGATTTGGAGAATAATATTAATATTATTTTAATGGCGCGTGTTTATACTTTGTTTCATGCGTTATAATGATTTCTGATATTTTTTATGTAAAATTTGAATTTCCAATGTGTAACATTAATAATAAGCCAATAACAACGGTCGAAACGTCTGCTTTTCTTATATGTTTCAATTATCCACAATTTATTAAAGTTTATTTTGACTTGCTTTATTTAATATTTATTCTTTTGTTCATCCTATTAATATAATATTAATATAATATAATATTTATAATTAATATTAATATTAGAAAGAAATCTAGAATTTTTAAGATATGATAAGATGTGATAAAGTACAGAGAGAAAATTAAATAACAATCGGATTGCACTTATATAAGAAAGAAATAATTATTTTATTACTTCTCTCTAAAACAAACAAAAACATTATTATTGTTCGTTTTGTAGTAGAAAACTTGAATCAGCTGAAGATATATGTCCAAGAAAAAATAATTCGTTCTTTGTGCAATTACCACTTCTTCAACAATTAAAAGAAATGTATAAAAGAAATGAATTTTATAATCAATTGTTAAAGCGTTTTGAAAAGATAGGCAATCAATCCGTTATAACTGATGTGTATGATCTTTATATAGGATCTTTATATAGGAAGTGAATGGATAATGGATTTCTTTCAAATTCCGATAATATTTCTTTTAGCTGGTATACAGATAGAGTGCCTGTTATCACGTTCTCAAAAATTAGTGGGATCTCTATATTTAATTATAAACGAATTACTTTTTGATGAAAGGAAAAAGAGAGAAAACATATTGTTCTTAGGATTATCATACGGAGATAAGAACCTACTGCAAAAAATTTTATTTATAATGCTTTCGCGAAGAATTGGAAGAAATTAGTAATGGTATTCAAATGGAAGTAGCAATAGATAATAGATTTGAACAAAAAACAGTAAGAAGTGTGTTGTTAATGGGCATTGCAGATTTACCAGCTAAGAGTGATTTTTTAATTTTGTTCAATGGAGATTTTAGTTGTCCATCATGTTATTGCAAAGATGAAAACATACTGATTATTCAAGAGGCACAGTGCATATTTATTGTTACGAAAACAAAAATGAAATTAAGAATGAATATGCTAATAGAGCCTGATGATCCTATTATGAGTATAAAAGGACACACGGTTTTCTCAAAACTTATGCCAGACTTTATTGAAGGAATTGAGATTGACAGAATGTGTCGAAGGAGGCATTGTAAAAAAGATATTATTACGGTTTGATGTTAAACATCGAAATCTGTCCTTTCTCATGCTGTCAGTGATATCGTTAATAAGAGATTAATTACAATTAAACCGCCGAAATATGTGTCGCGTTGTGTACAAGATTTACTTCATTGGAAAGCATAGGAGTTGAAAATGTGGCTTTTTCATTTTTCTATTCTAATTCTTGAAGATGTTTCAAGACAAGATTATTTCAATTATTATCTTCTTCTTGTAGTAACGATATCTGTTAAATTACGAACGAATCATATTTTCTATGATAAATATTGCTCAAGATTTTTAAAATAAATTTGTACGTGAATTTGAAAATTTATATGGATTACAATTTTATTCTATTAATATCCATTAGTTACGACATTTATCAGATAATGTTATAAAATTAGGATTCTTATGGATTTTCTCAGTATGAGAATTTAAATGGTCAAATAATTTTTAAAATTGGTATACGGAATAAGACACATTGAAACACAAATTGCGATAGCTCATGAACAGTTCATAAAAATGATTAATAGATAAACGATTAATAGATAAAGAGGCCTCATTCGTACATTTTGTTTGAGCAAAAAACGACAAGTCAAAATTCTAGAGCAAGTATTTCCAAATTACTGTAGTATTGGCTCTTACATGTTATATAGATTACTAATTATTATCGTTAATGTATTGGCTACTTCTAATTTCTTTGATAATATCACATATTGTTGGCAGTGTTTTAAGTTATTAAAAAATGGCAAATTATATGTTTCATAAATGTATAAAACAGATTTGCAAACTGAATCTTCTGTAATATTGTATGTAAATAATGATCTAATACAGGTTGCAAAAATTCAGTGTTTTATAAAAAGTATCCATCAAAAAAATTGCAACAAACAATTCTGCCAATATGAGCAAAGAAAAAGACATTATGCAATTGTACAACAAATTATAACTGATGTTACATTTGTTGCTTGAGGTGATAATTTTACCATATAGCTGATACTAATTTTTTTACGCAAATATTATAAAACAGAAAATTTTATAGCTATTCCCATTAAAACATTGAAATATTATGCATATTATAAAAATTGATGAACAAATGTATGTAGAAATATCTGTTCATCAAAAAGAATTAGAATAAAATATTATATTATACAATAATAAATTTGATATATTTGTGTGTAAATTATTATATGTATATATTAAAACTCATTATAATTATTATAAAATAATATAAGTTGCATTCTATGTGAAAGAATTTAAATTATTAATAATTTCAATGTATATATGTATATACGTGTATATTATATTAATACTTGTGTGTGTGTGTGTGTGTGTGTGTGTGTGTGTGTGTGTGTGTGTGTACATGTATTTATTTATATATAAATTGAAAATATTAATACTAATTTCTCCCATAACTTATATTATTTATTATATTGTACATTGTTAGAAATATTCTTTAATTTCATTAATCTTTAATTGACTGTTAATTGATATTTAAATTATCTGTAAACGGAAAAATTAAGTGTATTGAAATATAATGTACTGTTCATTTATGGACGTGAATGTAAAATATTTCAATTAATCGTGATTGAAATAATTATTAATGTAATTGAAATAATTATGTTAACAGTAAAATATATTTTGATAAATCTAAATATATATTTGATAAGTCTTGAATGCTCAAAATAGGTGAAAAATAGACGTCGTACAAAAATAGGAGTTATAGGACTAGCAGCATTAATAGAACTTAAATTTGAATTCAATAGAATTAATAAGATTAAACAGAAGCGAAAGAAAGAAATTAGAAGGTTTAAGAGAAGATATGCAAATCAAGAAGCATTAATGAAGAACAAGTAAGTAATTGCAAGATTTAAAGTAAATTTTAAATTTCGACTCGGAAGAGCCTGTTTTTAACTAATTTTGAATCGACAATCGCATTTATTTGAATTCGTAAAAAATCATGCAACAATTCGCATTCTTTGTGTATTTTAATTAGTATTAATTTCGGGAGTGCCGTGAAAATTATAGCGCGGTCACATATAATATAATCATTAATTAATTCAAATATTGAGATTGATTTAACTATATATTGGCGAGTAATGCTAGTATTCATAGTCGTTCTTAATTTCAAACAATGTTTTAAGACGCTAATATGGCTTTGATTGGTTCATGCATCTCAAGCATTGATTCATGCATCTTACTAATTTGATCATGTCGAATCTTGAGCAATATCTATGAATTCCACTTTTAAATGTTGTAGAAATCCGAGAAAAAAATCTGATAATTTGAAGACAGAAGTCCAAAGATTCTGACTGAAAGGAGGTCTCGAAAGACATCGGGCGGAGCAACTCTAAAGTAAATAAGATGTCGCCTTAGATGTCGCTACAGATGTCTGTTTATAGAATTGGTCATTGTAAGAAAAATATGTGATTATTAGGAAGTGCTCAATTAAATAATTAAGTTGATGTTATTGGGGACTTTATGTGATGTAAGGATTAAGCCCTGCGCACAATAAAAGAAATAAGGATTAAGAATAAAGATCATTGACCATTTAAATTCTCATTTATTCTCATGAAATAACTTTGATATTATATATTTTGTAGAATATTTAAGTATCGAATTAATTAATCGGATATATTCAAATATCAATTAAATTTTTTAATTCATAAAATTTAACATAAATTCTATAATTACAAATCTTTTTTTATGGAAGTTACATAATTATTTTAATAAATTTCAATTACAACTGCCTAAAACTTTTA